ATGTAATAATCTAAAGGAAATGAAATGAGTTACAGAAATGTCTGCACACACTGTTCACTGCAGCATTAGCCAGAGTCAATAAATAGAACCAACTTAAGTGACAATCAACTGGTGAATTAGAAAAATCGTAGTACACACACACATACAAGTTAATAGTGTTTTGTCATGGAAAACAATGGGATATTGTCAAAGAAATTGTGTTTACATGGATGAAAATGGTGATCATCAGATTAAACGGAAAGAGCTAGGCATAGAAAGACGCACACTGCATGATCTCTAGCAGATGTTGAAATGTTAAAAGTTGTTGCTGAAGAAAGTGGGATAGGGAGAGATAGGGAAGATTTGATCAAGGGTTGCTAACTTACAGTTAGAGAGAAGCAAATTGTTCTGCTGTGTTATTCAATAGCAGCAGGGTTTCTACAGAAAACAATAATATAATATAAATTTCAGTGGGCTAGAAGAAAAGGTTTTGAAATTTTTAAATACAAAATACTGATAAACATTTGTGAAGATAGATATGTTTAACCTAATCTAAATATTACTCAGTCTATGTGCTACTAAAATGGTACATGTTACTCCACTGATATATATATATATATACATCTTTTTATATTTTTATGTATTAGTAAAAAATAAATGTAGATGTGTGCTGTTGTATTCATTAAATACAAAAGCTGTCCCAGGAGATCAGTGCTCTTATTTTTATTATACTATATCTAGAATAAATTGACAGATCATAGACCCTATATGTATTTGCTTTTAATATGTTCTGTCATATGGTTTGCCAAACTGGTGATGATAATTCTAGTTGTACAACATCCTTGTAAAATACCGTTTTTTGTCTTTATTTCAGACACTCTGAGGAGTGTTTGCTGCTATCACATTTTGTTTATAATTTGTATTTATCACAAACTAATAAAATTGACTTTATTTTAACAAATTACTTATTTAGATACTTTTATTTTAAGTAAATTCTGTTTTCTGTTTTATGACATTTGCCTACATTTTATGGAATTGTATTTATTATTTTTTTATTAAATTGCTAAAATTCTTCTTTCTTTCTTCCTTCCTTCCATCCCCCCCTCTCTTTTTTTCTTTTTGTAGTGCTGAGGATGGAATCCAGGGCATTGTGCAAGGTAGGCTATACCCTCAGCCCCTCATGTCTAAGAATTCCTTATACAATGTGGATATTAGTCATTTGTCAGATATATATGCTGGAATTTTTTTTAGTTTGTAGCTTCCTTTCTAGTGATTTTAATGGAATTATTTTATGAACAGAAATATCATAGCATTAATCAAATATGATTGATTAATAATGATTTCCTGTTGTGTCCCCTTTAACAAAACTAATTACTCCAAAAGCCTCAAAGGCAAGCTCCATTCCATTGTGTAACATTAGAACCACACAACTACCTTTCCACTTTAGATTCAGAGCATTTTTGTTGTTGCTCTTGTTAATTTTTCCTTTCTTTGTTTTCATCTGAGACATAATCTCAGGCCACCTAGGCTGTCCATGAACTCTATCCATCATGGAGGATGCCCTAGAACTTGTGTTCTTTCTGTCACAATCTCCTAAACGCTGGGATCCTAAGACAATGCCACCACCCTGCCTGCTGTATGTGGTGATGGGGTTGAAATGCAGAGCTTGGTGGGTGACTCTATCAACAGAACTGCATTTCTAGACCCACTGTTCTAGAATGTGTTGGCTGTGTGTGTATGTGTGTGTTTTATTTTAGGTGGGATCAGTATGCATGTTTTTTTTTCTCATAGGGATATCTAGTTCGTCTAATACCTTTAAAAAAAACTCCCTCTGTCACAGTATATAACCTTCATTATATATCAAATGACTGAATATATAGGTATGTTTTCCAGGTCTATAAAGTTCACATATGCGCACATTTTAACCTTTGTGACAATATATTGGGATTTCAGTATATATAGGATTTCAGCTACTTATGTTGTTTAAATGGCAATGTTTTAGCCAAATGGTGGTAGCGCACGCCTTTAATACCAACACTTGGGAGACAGAGGTAGGCAGATCTCTGTGAGTTTGAGGCCAGCCTGATCTACAGAGTAAGTTCCAGTACAGACAAGGCTACACAGAGAAACCTTTTCTTAAAAGAAACAAACAAACAAAGGCAATGTTTTAAATTTGATAACTCCAATTACTTGGGTTTCACTTTAATTTATGATTTGTTATTTCTATTCCATCTAAGAAATCTTGGTTTCCTAAGATTGTAATGTTTAAATGTTTTATTTTGAAAGTTTTATAATTTGAGTTTTTACACTGATGCCTATGTTGTGCTTCAAACAAATTTCTGTAAGTAAAGATAAAACAAAATGACTCTTCAGGAGAGCTGCTCCTCCCCCTCATGGGCTGCAGCACTGAGGAGACTGGCCCCTACAGCACACCTGGGCCACACAGTAGGTGTGAGAGACACAACCCTGAGGATAGGAAAGCAGGAGAGCTGGCCCTGCTTCTTGCTGATTGGTGGAAGGGGAGAACTCGCCAGGACAACGCAGTAGAGCTCACCCTGGTGGTGAGGACAAGGGAGAGCTGGTGGACTGACCAACCCTGCCACTACCCAGGGCCAGAACCTGGGCTATGTGTTGGCCCACCCCAACATCCACCCTATCTGTGATCTGCTGGAGCACGTGAAGGGGCTGGTCCTGCAGACCCAAAGCTGCAGGATCTCCACAACACAAGACCTAACAGCAGGATGTCCGAGGGGAATCCCAGTGAACGCCCAGCATCAATAGTGTAACAGAAACCAGAGGTCTCGAACTAGACCAATGACTCTCTGCAATGAACACTTGCAAGTAAAGACATATGGATAAAAGTATTTACTATCTGACTCACTGTGTCACACTACAGCTTCCATGACGAGACTGATTTTTTTCCTTCTCTTTTTTTCTTGTCTTTTTTCTCTTCAATTTTATTTTATTTTGGGGGGAGGTTACAAGGACACAGGGTGGATATGAAGGGCTGGGGAAACGATGAATGGGATGGATAGCAATGATGTGAAAGACACACAGAATAAATGAAGAGGAAAAAAGGAAAGGCCTCTTTTGTTCTTGGAAGAATTTCCATTTGTTTCCAGAATCATTTGTTGAAGAATATACCTTGCCTAATGGATTATCCTGATACCCTTGTGAAGAAATGAATTGACAGTATATGCGTAAGCCTATTGCTGGATCCAATTCTGTTCCAGTTATGTGTAACTGGAACACTCCTTTAGTAATACTCCAATGCTACCACTCTCCTTTACTAAGACATCTCAAGCCCTAAAATCATGGTTAGTAATTCTTCAGATGTTTTTCTTCAAATTAGTTTATCTATTCTAGGTCCTTGGTTTTTCTACATAAAGTTTAGATGTAAGCTTGCAATTTGTAAAAGCAAAACTGCTGGCATTGGGGGTTTGATTAAATTAAATGCGTAGATGAGTTTGGGGTATCAAATTCCAGAAAAAGATTAGCATTGTAGAGTTTACATTTGGTTTGGTATTTAGTTGCTCTCATCGTTGTTTTATAGTTTTAGTATATAGCTTCCTTCTAAACATTTCACATTAAAAGCTCATAAAGCATACGAATGATTCTTCTACATTTCAATTTTCAATCGCTCCTCATCAGCATATAAAATACAAGTGTCTTTTGTATTGTAACCATGTACCTGAAACTGTCCTACACTGAATTCCCAGTACTCTGGGGGATTGCCTTCCCCTGTCCTCTGCTCCCAGGATGCCGTGCCTTCCTCTTGCTGCCCTCTCAAACACCAAAGCCCGTCTGGAAATAGATTTACTGTCCAAAAGCTAAAATTATTTACATATATGCTCATTGACTTGCAAACACCTATGAACTATTTGAAGCAGACATTTTTGAAAGAGACTTGTCCTTTTCTTTGCATTCTGAAAATCTCACAAGGTTTTGTAGCACGGTACATTCCGGTTCGCCTCATGAAAATGCCTCACACGGCTAGGGGCCCCCCACAAGGGGAGCCATCAGCTGCCCTGTCCTTTTCCAAGGTCCAAAAACAGCAGCAGCTGCCTGTAGCTTCTATATTTATATAATGACTTAGCAGAAGAGACAGATGGTTGGGGTTTTTTTTTCCAAATTTAATCCTGTTTTTCCAATAAGACTATGATTTCTTTTTTTTTCCTGAAATGAGATAGGATCTCCTCAGCCTAAGCCAGTGTTAAACTAGAGATCTTCCTGCCTCAGTTCTCCCAGTGCTAGTTTTTTAGAGGCAAGAGACGTCGTTCCCCCACTTTAATAACAATTTTAATTTAAATAGAATTGCACCAATTTTCCTTCCCAAGTCCTTTCTCTCCAAATCCTTCCATGCTCCCTGCACTAAGAGCTTCCTCTTCCACAAAGCTATCATTACATATAAAAGATGCATGCTTTTCATTTATCACCGAAAGAAAAGTACAGAAACGCATTTTTTTTTTTTAATTAGCTGGGTGGTGGTGGCACAAGCCTTTAATCCCAGCACTTGGGAGACAGAGCCAAGTGGATCTCTGAGTTCGAAGCCAGCCTGGTCTACAGAGCGAGTTCCAGGACAGGATGCAGAGAAACCCTGTGTCAAAAAAAACAAATACAAGAACAGAAGAGAAAAGAAAAAAAAATCTACATAAGCTTCTTTCCTGGCTAACTTCTTCACACGTTTTAGTGAAGGGAAAATGGACAACTTTGGTGGCTGAGGGGACAGCAGGAGAAAAGAGGGGCAACTGGGCAACCTTGGAGCAGAGGGAGAGGGAAAATGAATCCCCCAGAGACCTGGGAATGGCTACCAGCCCTTGGAGCACACACTGCCTATCTCTATCAGACAAAGAAATGCCCCAGGGCTCAGAGTGATGGGGCCCAGGCTGAAGACGTCAGAGTGACCAGCAGGTGAGGAATGGGCCTGGACTTTGCCAGGCAAGACCCTCAGGGCAGGAGGAGGGGCGGGGCCGGGGCGGAGCTTGGCCTGTGACGCGGATCACGTGACCGGCCCACGCAGGCTCACGCCCCTCTCCGGGTCCTGGACTTGCCCCTGCTCACTCCCTCCAGCCCGCCATCCCGGCCAGGCACCTGTTCCCGGTCTCGTAGCTGCTGGCGCAGAGCGCGGGTCCCGACAGCGCGGACAGCAGGAGCAGGAGGAGCAGGTGAGGGAGGCGGCGGCCCGGGCCTGCGGAGCCCGTCGTCGGGGCGCGGCGACCCCGGCCCCGCCGTCGCAGCGCAGGCCGAGGCAGCAGGTGGCCGTTCCTGTGCGCGCAGCGGCGCGGCCGGCCTGACGGGGGCGGGCCCGGGCCGAGACCCTCGGGGAGCAGGAGCCTGCGCCCCGCGACTGCTTCCCCAGCCCCCGGCCCGCTCCCCTGCAGCTCCCGTGCCCAGGGCTGGTCGGCGGGGCGGGGCGGGGCGGGGCGGGGGCGGCCGTGGCGGCGGGAAGAACCTGGGCTTGGGCGGGGGTACCCAGGGAGGCCCCGCGGGTCCTTCCTTCTCCCCTCCCTCCGTCCCTCCTATCCCATCACCGACCCCCTCCTGCCTGGTTCGTTCGCAGGTCCCAGGAGTCCGGCTTCGCAGCGCACCTGGTGGTGAGCATCGCCCCCCGGGAGAAGGCAAAGATAGGCCCAGGTGGGTACTGGGACAGGCCTGGAGGCCCGAGAGCGGGGAAAGGGGACCTGGGCAAGGCTGAGTCCGACATCCCAGAGCCCAGCTTTCCCCCTACTAGGCCATCCTCCTCTCTCATCTTAGCCTTCCATTTTAATGACGCAGATGCCATGGAGATGGATCTGCAGGAAAAACAGTGGGCTTTGGGAAGAGATGGGCTGGAACGGGGCCCCCGAGAGAGCACGTGGGCCTCTTGGGTGGGGAAAAGAATTTTGAAATGTCCATAGTAGGCACTCCGTCCTCATTGCTAATCAGTCCGCCAAGATATCTTTTCCTTCTCTTGCTTCTTAGGAATAATGGAGTCCAAAGAACAAGGAGGAAAAAATCTCAACATGGAAAATGACCATCAGGGCAAGGAGGAAAAGGAAGAAAAGCCGCAGGGTGCTAAGAAAAGGGTGCAGCCTGTGGTCCTGCCTCTTGAAGCTGAATACTCTGCGCCTCGAGGAAATCGCAGGCGCTTCCGCATTAGGCAGCCCATCGTGCACTATAGATGGGACCTGATGCACAGGGTCGGAGAGCCCCAGGCAAGGATGAGAGAGGAGAACAGGGAAAGGTTTGGGGAGGATGTGAGACAGCTCATGGAGAAGTTGAGGGAAAGGCAGCTGAGCCACACTCAGCGGGCAGTTAGCACTGACCCCCCTCACCATGACCATCATGATGAGTTTTGCCTTATGCCCTGAATCCTGGTTTCCTGAAGATAATACGGGGACCCCCTGCTTCAAAAACTTAATGTTTGTGATGTACGGTTGTAAAATTTTGAGGGTGCTTCTTTCATGTGGATCTCTTCCTGTGTCAGCTTCTAATTGCAACTTGTGTTCTTGACTCAGTCTGTAATTCTTTTGTTAGCAGAGTTTATCAGTTGCATGGCAAGATGCTCCTTACATATTGTGAAGTTAATAAAGCAGATTAAAAAGGCGTTCTCTGCACTTTTACTTAATTTCTCTTTATATAAGGGTACGGACGGGCTGGAGACATGGTTCAGAGGTGAAGAGCACTGGCTGCTCTTCCAGAGGTCCAGAGTTCAATTCCCAGCAACCACACATCTGTAATGGGATCTGGTGCTTCTTCTGGCATGTAGAAGATACATGCGTACATGCAGGTAAATGTACATAATAAGTAAAATTTTTAAAAAGTGTGAACAGTCACATAAATGGAGTAAGTGATGTTGATCACTTGAAGAACTGAAAAAAATCTTCCATTATTTTTTCAAAATTGAACACATTACTTAACGAATTTGGTGGCTTAGCTCTTTAGAGGGTTGTTCTTCCAGAGAATCCCGCTCTGATTCCCAGCACTCACAGGGTAGCTCACAACCATATGTACCTCCAGCCCCAGAGACTTTGGTGACTTATGGACACCAGGCACACATGTGCTACAGATATACGTGTAGCCAAAACACTCATACCTGAAATAAATCTTTAAAAAATTAATTGGTTTCTTAATAACCTTATAAAATGATAATTTTAAAGATTTGGCAATATAATCTCAGATTTAGTTTACCATCTGGCATCTATTACTGGGAAATAAAAGTAATATTGATCCTTAGTCTTATCGGTAAGGTGGGAATAACAGCCACCTCAGGGCTGCTGTATGAACTAGATGAGGTAATTAGTTTGCGAGCCTTTTCAGTTTGTATTCTCTTGGCACGTTCATAACTATACCCTGAAATGTTTTCAGTTCCTAGGGGTGTTCATGAGATGAGGTCTCTACTCCAAAGGTCCTGTGGGACCAAGGGTAGGTGCACACTTCTTTACCGTGTGCTAGTCCCATGCTTTCCCCTAGAGAGTCTGTACTAGACAACAGTTCTTACACCAGACTCTTACAGATACTCACAAATCCTCGAAGCGAGAGATTCACCCTGATTTCTCTGGAATGCCCGTTGTGCTGAATCCTGCTCCACGTGCATAGCTGGATTTCTTCCTGTTTCTTTTTGATAAAGACCGTTTATCTGGGACAATTATCTCTTTTTTTTTTCTTTTTTTTCTTTTTCTTTTTCAATTATCTCTTTAGTTGAGCAGGTTACAAAAGATGGAGGAGGCAACAGCTCACCGAATCTGAGACAGCTGTTCACAACAGCCCACATTAACCTGAAATTTCGGAATGTACACAGTTTTTGTCTATGCCGTGCTGATCGTCAGAGGATCATGTCAGTGTATGAGGGTTTTAATTACAATGAAAAAATACATTTTACTTAGGGGAATTGATTTTATTTTGTGGTGCTGGCTGGTGAACCACAGTCTTGCATATACCAGGCATGCCAGTGTTTTGCAAAATTGAGCTTAAAATGTAGGATTCTGGAACAGGTTAGTAAATAACTCATGACCAGACCTGGCCAACTGGTTATTTGGGAAACTCTAAGAATGGTTGACAAAATATTGTGTAACACAAAAATACATAATTTGAATTTGGTGCCTTTAAAGTTTTATTGAAGCATTGAATGCTAATTTATTTATACATTGTTTGTGACTTTTTTATTACAGTGGCAATATTGAGTAGTTGTACAATAGTGGAAATCATCGAAGACTGTCACCTGGTCATGATATACAATGGCTGTCACCCTCTGCCTTAGACATAACAGTTACACTTGGAAAAATGAGGGGGAGTTAACAGGTAAATATATCCATCATGAAAGGTAACAACCCCAATATAAACCATGTGCTTAATTCTGAAGTGTCCTAGCCTCTCGCAGGCACTTGAAATATAAGGCAAACTTATGAAGACAGCAGTTAATATAAAGTGTCTCTAAGAGTTTAGATTCATTTCCTTAAGTATCATTTTTGTGATATAATAAGTTTTTTCCACTTTTTTTTACAGAAAAAAAGATAGGCAATCAGATTCTGTCAGGGTACATGCAGTAAGATTAGGGGTGTTCACAGAGAAAAAGAATGTTCAAAAAGAGGCTTGACCCTGATCCAGTAAACATAAAGTCACCATTATTGTGATTTTGTCATGTAATATATTTTAACAGACTCACTCCTGTACTTTTAAACGTATTCCTATAGCTAAACTGAAAGAATTATTTCATCTTAAAGATACTCATATTTGAAGCTTTTAGTTTGATATAGTTGAAAATACTGTGGGTGTTCTGGCTTTTAAGACAGGGTCTCAGCCAGACGGTGATGGCGCAGGCCTTTAATCCCAGCACTTGTGAGGCAGAGGCAAAAGGATCTCTGTGAGTTCGAGGCCAGCCTGGTCTACCAGAGCCAGAGCTAGTTCCAGGACAGACACCAAAACTACAGAGAGAAACCCTGCCTTGAAAAACAAAACAAAACAACCCCCTACACGCACACGCACACACACACACACACAGAGAGAGAGAGAGAGAGAGAGAGAGAGAGAGAGAGAGAGAGAGAGAGAGAGAAGGTTTCACTCTGTAGCACAGCCTAACCTAGAAATCGCTATGCAGCCCAGACTCAACAGGAACTCACAATAATCCTCCTATCTCAGCCTCCTGAGTTCTAGAATTACAGGCATGGGTAGCCATATTTGGCTGAAAGAATATTTTAATGGCAAAAAGGACCTAGACATGGCTCTCATCAGCAGCCTGGGCTCTAATGTCACCATGGCCCTAGATGGCAGCATAGGCCACTCAGAGCCACATGACTCCAGAGGCCGAGTGGCTCCCGACACCAACATGGCCCCAGGCAGTGGCATGGCCTTTGATGGTATCAGGAGCCAGCAATTTCGACAGAGACTCTGGCTTCTGTAGGGTTACAGACCCTCCAGCTGCAGCCCTAGCTCAGATGTCACCATGACTCTATGGCAGCACAAGCCACTCAGATCTGTATGGCCCTCTCTGCAGCATGACCCTCAGAGTTACCAGGATCCACCAAGACCAATGCAGACCCTGACTGCAGTAGGGCCATGGACCCAGAGATATGGCAGCACATCAGACTTTGCCGTGCCCCAGGTGGCAACACAGGCCATCCAGATTAGCATGGCCTTGGCAGCAGTGTGGCCCTCAGGCACCAGCATGGACTCGGGTAGTGTCTGATCAGACCCCGGTCATCCACATGGCCTTCAGCAATTTCTAAGATTATAGACATCAACAGAGACCCTGGCTGCTGCAGGACCAGGGACCCAGACATGTCCCCTCCTCCAGCAGCTTGGGTCCCTGTATCATCATGCCCCCTGGTGGCAGTACAGGCCACTTAGATCAGCATGGTCCCAGGAGTGACATGGCCCTCTGACTCCAAAATGACCACAAGATGTGGCCTGGATCCTGGGCATCCTTGTGACCTTGGCGGCAACATGGATCATGAACGTCAACACAGACCATTTCTGAAGTGGGACTATGGACCCAGAAATGGCCGTAGTCAGCATCTCAGTCCCAGAGGTGGTCCTGGTCCCAGGTGGCAAGCAGGCCACCAATATTAATTTCTCACTGCCCTCCCTCTTCAGACCTGCCTCTTACCACAGCACATGAACCATTCTGCCTCTCTTTCCCATTTCTCCACCACATTCTTGCTCATCATAATGGCACCTGCCCGTCCGGTGAAGCAGGTGCCTGGCAGAGCTGTGGAATCCTTCAGGCGGTCAGGATCAAGAGGACTTTCTCCCACCTCCACTCACTATATCGTAATAATTTTTCTTGAAATTTGCAAATCACTGGGAAAATTTTTTAAATGAATACAGGGTGACTGTTTAGGCTCAGAAAGTGTTGCAGAATGAACTTTCTAGTTTAAAGCAGAGAGGTGATACAGACAGCCTAAAACCCCATTCTGTGTACAAGGGAAATAAAGCTCTCATCATTAACTACTGCTTAAACATCAAGCTGCCTTTATTGAAAATGAAGTAGCATCAATGAAAATGGAGAATCAGGGACTAGATTTACCTCCTTACCTGAAATTTAAAACCTGGACAAAATTCATGAAATGATAACTTTTGATAATTGGACATTAGGCACAATAAATTATAGAAGACCAGGGATAAATGCAGTCACTACATAATTTTAAGTGGTAAATTTTCTCATATTACAGTGTTTTAAAATACATGAAGCAAAAATTCATAGTGCAATGAAAAATAAGTGAATCTCCAGCCAACATCAGGAATTAAATATTGTCTCTAAAATACTAAAAGAACAAGTAAACAGGAAGCAGACTTCAATAATATGAACCAGTTTAATCTATGTGATGATTATGTAACTTCTTGCCAACAGTTGAATGTCTGCGTGATTTTTATGTGCACAGCACATTTACCAATGTAGTTCATATTCACTGTCATACAATAAGTCTTAGTAATGCTAACAAACTTCAAATGATATTTGAGACTGTGTTCTCAGAGCACAATGAAATTAAGTAAGAAATCACAATAAATCCCTGAAAAATGCTAAAATCTTAAAATGGGAGCAATTAACATATGTCTAAGTAACTCATGACCCAAAGTAAAAAGAAAAATGGAAATTAGGCCATTTGAAAAGTTCATGGGTAGACATTTGCACACCATGCCCGAGGTTCTGAGATTAATTCAAAAATGCAAAATATTTCCAAAAAAGGCTTATCATTTTCGAACCCTAGTATTTATTGAAAATTTTATATGAGTACTGTATTGACAACATTCTCTATTCCTCTCCTCCTTCCTGCTCCTCCTGTGTCCCCCCACTATGACACCCATTCAATTCATGGCCACTTATTCTCTAATTATTTTTACTTACAGACACACAAATTTATAAATAAATTTTCTAAGTCCCTTTAATATCACCAGTATTTGTATGTGTTCACATCTAACTCTTGGGACTGAGTAATCTGTCATGGGACTGTCCCTGGAGAAGACTGATTCTCCAACTCTTAGTCACTGTTCTGTTTGTGTTTAGAGACACCATGACCAAGGAAACTCTTAAAAGAAAGCATTTAATTGGGAGCTTGCTTACAATTTCAGGGTTTTAGTCCACTATCATCATGGTAGCAGGCATGGCAGACAAGATGCTGGAGAAGTAGTTGAGAGTTCTACAACTTGATCTACAGTGACACACTACCTCCAACAAAGCCACACCTCCTAGTCCTTCTAATCCTTTCAAACAGTGTCATTTCCTGGTGACTAAGCATTCAAACATATGAGCCTATGGGAGTATTCGCATTCAAACCACCACAGTAGCTATTCATTGGCTGTAACCCTTCATCTAGTGGGGATTTTTGAGATTTCCCCCATTCACATGCAGATGCCAACTGGTGCTGTCATTTTTCAGGTCTTTTTAAAAGTAACCAACCATAGGGTTGACATTTCATGGGTCCCACTTCCTTATCAGAAATATAGAACACTAGCTCTTAGCAGACATTCTGATCCTCTCTGACTCTCATACTCTTTCCACTCCTTTCTTCAATGTTCCCTGAACGTCATGTTGTAGATGTATAAATTGGAGCTCGGTTGTTCTAAGATGCTGTCTGCATTTTTACCTGGTGGAGATTTCTGTATTGAATTCTTTCTACTTCCCTGATTTCTATGGTTGCTCCAGGTTATACATTCAGCTCTGTAGATTCAGAGCTAGGAGCAGCAAATAAGAGAATATAGACATTTCTCTTTGTGGATCTAGATTACCTCACTCAATGTAATACTTTCTAGTTGCATCTATTTATCTTCAGATTTAAGGGCTTCATTTTTCTTTACAGGCAAAGAGTATTCCATGAGTATGTACACCGTTTTCATTATTCATTTATTGGTTGAAAGACATTAAAACTGCTTCCATTCCCTAGCTATAGTGAATAGAAAATCAGTGTACATGGCTGAACAAGTATTTGTGAAGTAGAATGTCTAGTCTTTTAGACCCATGGCTGAACAAGTATTTGTGAAGTAGAATGTCTAGTCTTTTAGACCCATGCTAAGATGTGTGGTATAGCTGGGTCTTATGGCAGATCTACATTTAGTTCTTTGAAACTTCTCCATACTTATTCCATAGTGGCTGCATCTTTTGAAATCCCACCAACAGCGAATGAGGGTTCCCTTTTCCCTGAATCTCCTGCAGCATTTGTACTTATTTGTTTTCTTGATTTTTTGCCATTTTGACTGAGAGAAGACGAAATATCAAAGTTGTTTTGGTTTTCGTTTCCCTAGTTGCTAAGGATGATGAACACTTTTAAAGGTATTTCTTAGCCATTTTTGTTTCTTCCTTTGCAAACTCTCCATTCAGAGCTATACCCCATTTTTCTAATCGGGTCATGTTTTTTATATGACTCTTATTTTCTGAGTTTTTTTATGTATTCTGATTATCAATCCTCTATAGCTGGCAAATATTCTCTCCCACTCTGGGTGCTTCTTCCTCATTTAGTTAGTTATTATTGCCTTTACTATACCAAACAATTTTTCAGTTTTATGAAGTCCCGTGGGTCATATCTCGATTGTTTTATCTGAGATGAGAAGAACTTCTCACTGGCAGGAATCCTGTACTGTATAAATGGAGAGGCAATTGAGCATCAATAAGAGTTCATTCCACTCTGTTTCTTCATCAAGGATGGAATGTTACCATCTGTTTCAAGCTCTTGTTGCCTTGATTTCCCTCCTACGAAGTACTATACCTTGAACTGTAAGTTAAAATAAACTATTCCTTGCTGGATGTTGGTGGTGCACGCCTTTAATCCCAGCACTCAGGAGGCAGAGGCAGGCAGATATCTGTGGGTTTGAAACCAGCCTGGTCTATGAGAGCTAGTTCCAGGACAGCTAGAGTTGTTACACAGAGCAACACTGTCTTGAAAATAAACAGAGAGAGACAGAGACAGAGACAGAGAGACAGACAGACCTTTCCTTCAGTTTTTTTGTCACAGTGTTTTCATAAATAAATAGAAATATCCCAAATACCATTAACACATGAACAAATAAAGAAAATGTAGTATAAATATACAATAAAACATTCACTTATAAAAGGGATAAAATATATTATTTAAAATGTGAATCAATTTTTAAAACACTATGTAAAGCAAGATAATAATTCAGATCAAAAGTTTGTGTATTTAATAATTTATTTTATATGAAATAAAATGACTATATTAAACCATAGAGACAGAAAGTGGAAATGAATTATTGTTGGGGACTGAAAAGAGAGAACTGTGAATGTGCCTACTTGACATAGGGGCTGTTTAGGGCCTAATGAAAATATTTCGTAATGGTAGAAGTTAGGGTTGCACAATTTTTTGAATATACTATATACTACTGAATTCCACATTTTATAATTGTTAATTTGATATTATATCTATTTTCTTTACAAAGAACAATAAAGATAACTGGTTTTAGAAGTAATGTGTGCACTTACACGTTCTCTAGACCAGTGACTTTCATCGTTTTATATATTATATGCACCTTTGAATATTTAAAGTTTTATTTCTATTTTGTTTGTTGAGAGAGAGAGAGAAGATTGGGATGAATTTGGATGTGCTTGTGCCATGGCAGAGGTCAGAGGAGAGAATTAAGGAGTCTGTCCTCATCCACATGACTGAGGCAAGTCTTCTTTTGTTGTTTCTGCCATGTGATGTGCTCAAGGCTAGTTGTCCCACAGACTTCTGGGCAATTCTCCTGTCTCTGACTCTAAACTCGTCTTAGGAGTTGTTGTTTTGTTTTGTCTTGTCTTGTTTTACAGCTTAACCCAGTGTGAGTGATATCTAGAGTTCCCTGACCTACTTGCACTAGTTCTGTCGCCAGACTTTTCAGTATGGGTTTGGTTCTCTCTCTTTTTTTAAATTTCATGCGCATTAATGTTTTGTTTTCATGTTTGTCTATGTAAGGGTGTCAGATCCCCTGGAACTAGAGTTACAGACAGTTGTAGCTGCCATGTGGGTGCTGGGAATTAAACCCAGGTCCTCTGGAAGAGCAGTCAGTGCTCTTAACTGCTGAGCCATCTCTCCAGACTTACATCTAGGTTTTTTACATGGGTTCTGGAATTAAACTGAAGTAAAACTAGGGTTATCAAGTTTGTACAACAGGTGGTTTTACCCACAAAGTCATCTCAGCCTAGGCCTTTGAACGTTAAATAATAACCAACAAAGTCTATTCTCATCAAATGTATCCATCAAATAAAAGCTATGTATCTTATGCTCATGTATATAATTTTGAATGTAGTTTTAAGGGCTTCATAGTTTGAAAAATGCCTGAACTCAAGGAATAAATGAGCGTTCTGTTTCTCCTCTCCCCAGTAGCGTTCATGCACGGTGTCTTCTCTTTTCTCAAACTCTTAGTTCATGCTTCCTCATTATGTCAACGTGCTTACATATCCTCATTATCTTTAGAATCCTATGGCACAGATCTTCCTACAAAAGTGAATACAATTCCACTAAGTCCTACACATTTGCACCTTGTATACTATCTTGGGTGGTCAGTTTGGAACATGTGGCCTAGGTCAACTTGTATGGTCAGGATGTCAAATACCAAGGCAGAAAGTACCAGAATATGAGTATAGACTGTAGTCAGAAACCCTGCAGGATGGCTAGGCACTTTTCAGGTACCTTGGCGGTGAAGATAACAGAGTTGAGAGACCTTGCAAGCTATCTCTTCCTAGTTAGTAAAGTGGAAGGGGGAAGGTAGCATGTAGGGATGCTTTTACCCAAGCATTGTGGATAACCACAGGAAGAAGACAGGTCTGAGGCCTCTCTCCCTGCAGCAATTCCTTCTCTAGGCTTCATGGTAACCCTGAGCTGCAGGAGGATAGAGGGGGATCTGTTCTTCCTCTCTTCTCTCCTGGGGCTGACTTATCCTGGTGGGAATTCAGAGGAAATGGATCAAAGGCGTTTATTAAATTGGCCACCTGTGTCAACTACTACATAGTTTATTTATTTAGTTAGTTTTTGAAGTTACCAACACATTCAAGTGCCCGGATGCAGGAAAAAGAGGAGAAGCTGTAAAACATGGGCAGGGAGAGGGAAGCGATACCTTCCTTGTCTCTTCACAAGGAATGGATGAGACAAACTTTCTGCAAGTCCCATAACCTGGAATACCTGGGTTCCATAGTTCTTTCTTTTCCCCAAGTTGAATGAAATAACCACGGTCCAATTTTCAAAATTGGCATTGTGTCAATCATTAGATATTTCCTATCGTTTACCAATTGTTTGGGAACAGAAGGTAAATATTTCTGAAAAACAATACACGACAGCACCAGCTCCTCATGAAAAGAAGTTACAGGGATTTTATCTGTAGCCAATTCCATTCAGTTACAAACTGGACAGGTCTTCTGAGTAGAAAAGTTGAAAACCTATTTTCCCCTCTATCTCAAACATTTTATTTTAAATGAAATAGTTTTGTGCCTATGAAAATAACTCGTGTTCAGCAGAGTAAGTGAAATTAAAAAAAAACTATTAAAAAAGAATATCTCTGTTCAACAACTGGCTTCTCTTCCAAAGGATCCACCCTGTGCCCTTTATGTGCAGGTATAAAGAAGACTGCGTGCAGAACGAACATCGGTGGCTGAGAAAGAAAGTGGATTCAAGGAGTACATGATTTGGGATTTTAAAAAAGCGGTCCCCCAAATCCTCTGAGATCTTAGGGGGTGGCAGTGGTAGGAGAGGATGCAGCCTCTCTCTAATAACCACACAGGACTAAACACATGCCACTGGACGAACCATATTTGGCCTCTGGGATTTGCAAGGAACAGAATGAATGACAAGGCCTCATGCTGTGGGGGAAGGGACAGAAGGTGGTGGGGGTAGCGAGGGGGAAAGTAGGCTGGCTCCTGACGCACTTTCTGATGCTGGGGAGGGGAACTAGGGACCGGAGCCCACTGGTGACGTTTTGTCACGTGATCAGGAGCAGCCGTCTGCAGAAGTCCCTCTCTCCCAGGTACCAGCAGCCGCCAGATCCTTATCTCCGTGGAGGAAGGCAGGCTTGAAACTGAGCGACAGGGGGGGGGGCAGCTGCCCTATAGCCCGGCAGGTTGGTAGAAGCCAGGGATTTCTGAGGGAGGGGTGGTAATGGACAGCGGCTACAGAGCAGAGAATTTTGTCTGCGTTTAAGATACCGCCCCCTTTCCAAACCCATTCATTTTGACGCAGAAGATTGTGTCTGTTGGGGGTAGCAGCTCTTATATCCTTGGAGAAACGGGGGCTAATGGCAGAAGGAGTCATTTCCCTGGATAGCTCCCAATCCTTCACTGCCTGCAGACGCTGGGTAGGCATGACAGGAGGCTAAGACCAGAGATGATTACAGGTGCAGGAAATGGATGGGGACGGGGACAGGGCCATTGGAGGGAGATCGGAGGTATAGAATGCCAATCGGAACAGTGATTGAGTGACAAACGTCTTTTTAGAGGAGGAGGGCAGGGGAGGCGACAGCGGGGGAGTGGGGGTGGTGATGGCCTAATCCCTTTTAGGTAGCAAAGGATGGGCACAGGCCCTGACTCCGGGCTGAGAAAGATGGACTACCCCAGGCCAAGGCTTGAATTCTCCCTTTCTCTTCTCCATCCCTCAACCATTTTGGAGCCCAAAATGGAAGGCCAAGGGGACTAAGGGTGGGGGTTGCTACGTAGAAGGAAAACAGAGGTTTGGGATGGTGCTCAGTTCCCAGGTAGGGGGTGATTTCTTAATAGGAAGGGTTCAAAGGAGATATCGCAGACCCAAATGTTAGAAATTAGAAATCATTTTTCCTTTTCATTGTAAAAAGCTGTTTTTTCTGGGTCTGTGAGGAGGAAGGCGTGAGTGAAGTGCTGTGGTTACGTCTGCCCTGCCCCCTCCTCCTTCTAATAGCTACGTTTCCAGAAAAGTATCGCGCTATGCTTTAGCAAGGGCCCCCGGGGAGGGGGCGGGGGCGGGGCCGGGGAACTGGTCCAGAGAGACCTGAGTGAAGCGGCACCTATCAGCCCAGCCTTCTGCCTTTCACAGGCCTGCCCGTCACTCATTTCAGTGAAATTACTGAGAGTAGATTTGGGAAGGAAATTCAGACCCCGAGAAACGGTTTGGAAGTCATTTTTTCAGTCCCATAGCTCGGGACCAGTAAACGGGAAACTGTTAAAGGAGAAGGTGTGGAAGAAAATGCGAGAACACCGAGAAATGGTGATGGGGTGGGAGGGAGGAATTGGGAACGTTTTGACAAAGACTTCTCGTACTACTTGCCAGTCATTCAGATTTCTAGTCCTTCATTCACCACCTGATTCCTATATCTTCCCACAGGTCTTCAGGTCTGTGGTCGTGGGCACCGATCCAGCTAAGAAAAGGAAGGGCCTGCAATATCAGTGCAGGTTAGTGGGAGAAGGAATGCATTCTGCCACCCCCAGAAGTAGAGTGAAAGCTGGGGAGGCCACTGCTTGCCTCCCTCCCGTCTCCAACTCTCCTTATTGCAAGTTCCAGACACATAGCGAGACCCTAAGAGAATGTGATCTTTTATCGCTGGTGAGGCTAAAGAGGAGGCTTTGAAAGTGAGGAGAAAGAATGTTCTCTGAGGGTATCAGAACACCCCTGAAATCTATGTACACTTTTTTTTTATACGTGGGAGAGAGAGAGAGAGAGAGAGAGAGAGAGAGAGAGAGAGAGAGAATGAGAATGTCCTGCGCGATTCCTGCAGTTCTTTGTAAGTTGAAACTACACAGCTAGTGTTTCTGTGGGCAGAGAGAGAACGAAGTTCAGAAACCACTATTCTCTGCGGTTCCTTCTTAGCACATCGCTTTAAGAGCTTTAACGGTAGGGAGAAACACCCTTGGAATTTCCTGCCAAGTTGGTTCATGTGTATATGTAAGAAGTGTGTAGGAAAAGGAAAAAGAATATACGGGTAAAAGTTCACCTGAAAGGTGGATTAGGATGGGTTGGCAGAGCTATGAATCAAGGAAAGCAACTGTTAAAAGCTTGTGCCCAGCTGGAGTGCCCTTAGTGTTTTTTCTTTGTCTTCTAGGACAAGCGGCAAAGGAAAATCGCAACATGGAAAAGTTCTTCAAAGAAATTGAAGGGAAGCCAGAAAACAAGGGACGGGCGGAAGATGAAGGAAATCCAGAAGAAGGAGGAAACGCAGACAAAGACAAGTCCCATGCAGACGGGAAGCCTGCACGCCAGGGGAAGCTAGAGGAGGGAGGGCCAGGTGAGCAGGGACAACAGAAAAGTGAGGGGAAGCCAGAAAATCAGGGAAAGTCTGAAGGGGAGGCCAAGCGCCAAGGGGAGGGCAAGCCAGCCAGCGAGGCGCGGGCCGCAGAAAAGCGCCCTGCTGAAGATTACGTGCCACGGAAAGCCAAGCGAAAAACAGATAGGAGCACAGAGGATTCTCCCAAGAACCCCCAGGAGGACTTCCAGGACAGGCATGTCAGCAGTGAGGAGATGATGAGAGAGTGTGCAGATGTGGCGAGGGCGCAGGAAGAGCTGAGGAAGAGGCAGAGAATGGGAGGTTTTCCCTGGTTGCCAAGAGATGCTGCGCAGGATGCTCTAGTCCCCCGGGGCCAACGGGGAGTCAGGGGAATGAGGGGCGGAGGAGGCAGGGGCCAGAAGGACTTGGAAGACGCTCCCTTTGTTTAATGCCTTTGGCCTTTCCTTCTGATTTCTTTGATGGGAAATATTGCCAGCCCTGCTTTCCCTGGCAGGCATTTGCCAGGCTCTGTGCTTCAACCCTGTGCTGATATTTTCCTTTAGGTGTCACTCTTGTTACCAGCAGACAGCACTCTGTCTTTTAGTAATGGACTTTCACCCATGTGCATGGAAGAGGTGTTCATGGTGTACTGTAAAATAATAAAGATAGCAGTGTGCAGAACAATAGATACAGTATCAGTCCATTTTTGAAAACAAAATCATCACATAGAATATTTACATACAAGGAAAACTGTGCAAGTACATAGACCCAAGAGGAATGGTGGTTGTCTCTGTGTGGTGGGACTTGAGATTTTTCATTTTCTCATATGATCCCCCTCCCCATTAAGGACAGAGGTTAATTTTATCATAAAAGAAGCACTAAAAGATAACACAGAGCACTGGGTACAATGGCACACTCCTTTAGACCTAGGACTCTAGAGGAAGAGGCAGGCAGATCTCTGACTTAGTGGCCAACCTTGTCTTTATGGACAGCCAACTGAAGCCAGCCAGGACCACCAAGTGAGAGCCTGTCTCATACGAGGCTATCAAAATAACTATTAAACCTGTGAAGACAAAGGAGATGCTTCAAATTCTTGTCAGAATCATAATCACAGGTAAAACTACACAACCTCTAGACTTCAAGTTGGAGGAATTTTTGCAGTTCCTGCCAGTGATGCTGCTTCCTTGACATATATGAAATGGGGTGAGGCTTACATCATAAATCTATGGAGTGAACCAAATTTGGCAATGAGAACTGGTTGTGTGCGTGAGCAGCACTAGATCAGACACTTGAGGGACAACTGGAGGAAGCCTCGGCTCTGCTCGGGAAAAGATGCAGGGAGCTGAGATGTGGGTAATACCTTCTCTTGGGCAAATGTTACATCCACTGGGCATTGGGCCTTCTCCCTCATGGATCCTGCATCCCCTTGAGACATCCACATTCACTGGTATTAGTAAGCTGAAGTCCTTGAGGTAACAATGCCCCTTTTCTTTTCCGGAAGGCCCTGTTAGGTGTTCCATTCTGCTGTGTTTACAATGAGCCTTTTCTCACTTTAATAGTTACCACTCATAAAAAGAGATGTGGAAAAATGCTTTCTAAATTTTTAACTAAATATTACATCCACTAGATTTACCTTCCTTTATCATTCACTCATTTGTTTTACTTTGCGACAGGGTCTCATGTTAGTCTTGGCTGACTTGGAACCTCACTATGTATACAAGGAATGCTTCTTTTTGTAAATCCTGTTTCCATATCCCGAGTGCCTGAATTATAGGCATGCACCACCAAATCAGGTTTATGAAGAACCAATGATCAAATTTGGGGCTTTGTGCACGCTAGATAAACATTCTAACAACCGAGCAATATCCTCATTTCTCAGACTTGCCCTTTATAAAGCCAAGAACTTATCTTACTCATTGTTTGCTTCCCACAACACCTAATAGAAACTTGCAAAATAAACACATCATCCATCAAGTCAGGAGACCTCAGTTTTTGGGCCATTTCTGCTCCTGGTTGTATATGTACTCTTAAATTTGTAGGTTAAATACTTTTTTATTGTTGCTTTTGTTGAAACAAGCATCTCATGTATACATGACTGGACTATACCTGGCTATGTAGCTGTGGCCAGCCTTAGATTCCTGACCTCCCTGCCCCTACCTCCCAACTGCTTGGAATTATAAGCATGAGTTATAACACTTGTCTCATGTAAATTTATTCTTATGCAACTGAAATTTGCCATTTCAAAGAAACGTGGCGGGGGGAATTATTGTACAATTATTTCCCAAATGGTTTTAACATAAATATAAATAGTTTGCAAAATTTGAGAGTTATTGGTAGAATAACTTCATGGAAGTCCTATCTGTCTTGCAGAAAATATAGAATCCTGGCTTCCACATCAAACCTAAGTCATCAGAATTTCTTCTGATTTGATATTTCTTCTACTTTTAGTTCACTTTAAAGAACTTTATTTAACCGGGCTGTGGTGGCACATGCCATTAATCCCAGTCCTTGGGAGGCAGAGGCTAGCAGATCTCTGTGAGTTTGAGGCCAGCCTGGTCTACAGAGTGAGTTCTAGGACAGCCAGGGACACACAGAAAAATCCTGTCTCAAGAAGAAAATAACAAAAAAAAATGGGGGGGAAGAAATAAATTTATTCAATTCACTCACTTGTGGAAGGTGTGTGTGTGTGTGTGTGTGTGTGTCTGTGTGTGTCTGTGTGTGTACCATGATGCATGTGTGGAGGTCAGAGGACAACGTACAGGAGTCGGTTTTCTCCTTCCACATGGGAAGTGGGGATTGAAGCAGATCAACAGACCCCTTTACTTGCTGACTCGTCTCTCCAGTCCTCAATTTCATCTTTCATAAAATAGATACGTGCACTGAAATAAAAACACCAACAGTGCAAACGAGTTTATTATTAATAAACACTGCAGTCTGTGTGTTTATTAATACTTATTCCCAATCTGAGTATGTTTGGCTTCTAAAATCTACCATCATAATTTTTAGTGGGCATGTGTTAATATTTTAACAGATTTGGTGAAATGTAATTCACAGATCATAACATTCACCTACTTAAGTGCTTTTTAATACGTTAACAGAGTTCTGAAACCATCGTATTATCTAGTTCTAAATTAGATATTTTCATCACCCTAAAACGAAACCTTATACTCGTTGACACTGTGCCTATTCCATGCCTCTAGCACCTGGTAAGCAATGATTTCTTTTCTGTCTCTGCGTATTTGTCCATTTACATAAATAGAATCATACACTACAAGGCTTGTTATATCTGGCTCCTTTTACTTGTTATAGTCTTGCATCGTCACTAAATATTTGTGGGTAAGATTTTGTTTCAAAACGTGATTTTGGTTTTCTTGGATATATTCTTAGGAAATGAATTTTGAAACTCTATAATAAACCTGGTATAAATTTTGAAGACCTGCCAAAATGTTTTCTAAAACAACTGTGACACTAGACAGTCTTACCAGGACTGTATTAAGGTTCCAATTTCTTAATGTCTTTGCTGACACAAGTTTATATAGCAATCTTTATTGATTACAAAGTAGCAGCCCGTAAAAAAATCTTTGATTTGAAATTCCTAATGACTAACAATCTTCAGCCTTTTTCTCATTTTTTTTAACAATTTATATATCTCTTGAAGATAAAATAGATCCAATTATTCTGCTGGATCTTACTTGTTTTTTTTAAGAGACAATCTTTCTTTATTTATTATGTATATAGTGTTCTGGGCACCAGATCTCATTATAGATGGGTGTGAGCCATCATGTGGTTGCTGGGAACAGAACTCAGGACCTCTGGAGCAACAGTCAGTTTTCTTAACCTTTGAACCATCTCTCCAGTCCCCAGAATCTTTCTTTGTAGCCCTGGCTGTCCTGAACTTATTATGTAGACCAGGCTGGCCTTGAACTTAAAGAGATTTGCCTTCTTCTGATTCTCAAGTGCTGGGATTGAAGGAGTATACCACTATGCCACGGTTATTTTGCTGATTATAAAATTAGATTGATAACCTTTCTTATTGTTGAGTTGGAATAATGCCTTGTCTAGTTGACAAGCAGTCCCTTATCACATAGATAATTTGCAATTGCTACTTTTTAACTTGCTAAGTATAGCCATTATCCATGGACCTTCTGATATGAAAATGTAGTATATTCTGCCTTATCATAAGAGTTGGTCAGCTTTCTAGAGCCATAACAAATGTCTGGGGGAAATCAACTTAAGAAGAGGAAAAGGTATGATTGGGGTGATGGCTTAGAAGTTGAAAACATTGACTATTCTCCCAAATGACCGGGGATTGATTCCCAGCACCCACACCTTGGGAACCATCTGTAACTCCAGTTTCAGGGGATCTGACATCCTTTTCTGGTCTCTGAAGGCCCTGCACACACATGGTATATATAAATGCAGGTAAAACACTCATACACAGAAAATAAAATAGTAAAAGAGAGAGTGTGTTGCAAAGGATCTGTGTAGAGAGCTCAGTTACTAAAGTGCCTGTTGTACAAGTATGAATTCCTGAGTTCAGATTCCCAGTGCCCATATAAATGTCAAATGTGGTGATGTACATCTGCAGCTCTAGAACTGGGCAGGGGTGGGGTGCTGGTTGGAGTGAGATGAGTAGATATCCCTGAGGAGTTCTGGACATCTGCTAGGCTTCTTCAGCCTCCCTATTCTCCTAGTCATTGCTAGGCCTCCTTATTCCCCAGGGAAAGGTGAGTGTGCTGTGTGCCCATTCCACAGCTTCAAGATGCAGGGAGTCAAGTCAAGCAGGAAGTCAGTTTATTACTGTGAGCATCAGCTTATATAGCTTAAGTGACAGGGTGTGATGTGGGGGTGCCTCTATCCAATGAGAAGCAGCCAAACCCTCCCTCTGGCTGGAGGGGCATCTACCTAATTTCTGCTGTCTCATCCTCCCTCAAACTCGAGCCAGGCTTTTCTCTGTCTTACAGGCCTCGAGTTACAGACCCTGAGATAATTTTGGCCCAATAGACATTCATACTAGTCAATCAGTGGACTACAGTCTCCAAGAACCTGTCTCAAACAATAAAGTTGAAGAGCTGGAGAAATGACTCAGTGGTTAGGAACACTTGCTGCTCTTGCACAGGTTTGGTTCCCAACACTCATGCTGGATGGCTCATAACCACCTGTAATTCCAACTCCAGGGCATCTTGCACCCTCTTTTGGCTTCAGCAGGTACTGCATACATATAGTACACACAAAGACAAGCAGGTATAGACACATACGCATGCATAAAAATAAATAAAGAAAGAAAACTGGAAAGTATCTAAATGGCTAAGAGACCTTGGTACTCTTCTAGAGGACCCTGGTTCAATTCCCAGCATTTGCATGACAGCTCACAATTGTTTGTGATCCCAGTTACAGGGAATCTAACACCCTCTTCTGGCCTCCATGGACACCAGGTATATATGTGATG